GAAAGAAAGAAAGAAAGAAAGAAAGAAAGAAAGAAAGAAAGAAAGAAGGAAAGAAGGAAATGAAGGAAGGAAAGAAAGACACTCTGCCTTCCTAAGTATTTGAAGTGTACCACAGCGGCATGAGACTTATACTTATTAAATGTTTTTATTTCCCAGGACCTTCAAGCAACCCTATCCAACCTACTGGGCCCAGCACCCCCACAGCCTGTGATCCTCACCTGAGATTCGATGCTGTCGCCACACTCCGTGGGGAGATTTACTTCTTTAAAGACAAGTATAAATTTGAGCTGCCCCTTTGTTGTACATCTCTGTTTGTCAGACCTTAAAACTGGAGGCTAATGAAACATGTCACTCAGCTTTCCTCTTGACCCAATAGATAGGTATCTCCTTGGAATTCCTAGTGGTTTCTAGTGAAACAGTCAGAGCATGGGGGAACTAAAGCATCAAACATCCCCAAGCACTTCTGATGTTGTTAGAGATTGTCTGTGTTAAACTTGTTAAAGACTGAAAGATCCTAAGCATGTTAGGTTTGTTGTGCTAAGAAGAGGCTGTGACGCCACCCAAGATCAAATAAGATGAGACCTGTGACCTCCAACACTGTCCAGGGGCCACCAGATGGATATCACTACCATAAACTAGGGTCTTGCGTGAATCATGCTTGTTATACATTTATATACTAAAGAAACCAGGCAAGGATCATTTGTAGCCAAGAATCATAAACCAACAGCTCTCTCCCTCTCCCTCTCTCTCTCTCTTTGTGTGTGTGTGTGTGTGTGTGTGTGTGTGTGTGTGTGTGTGTGTGTGTGTCCTTATGCTCCTTTAGGTACTTCTGGAGACGGCATCCCCAGCTGAGACAAGTTGACCTCAATTTCATCTCTCTATTCTGGCCCTTCCTGCCCAGTGGCCTTCAGGCTGCTTATGAGGATTTTGATAGAGACCAAGTTTTCCTATTTAAAGGTAACATCCTACCACCTTCTCCCTCTGTTCTTCCTGAAGGGTGGGGCAGGACTTTTCTTTGCCCCATAGCATTTTCAGAAAGGACAGGAAAAGCATGCTGCTAGCCAGGGTCTGGCCAGGAGTCCAGGCTTAGGCCCCACATGATCACAAATGGCTGCATGAACTTGCCCAGGCTGGACCCTCATTAGGTCTTAGTATTGTCCTCAACAAATACAACTTCCTGAGACCATTTTTGGTATTTCTCTGCCCTCATCGTAGATATGGTTTTCTAAGATATCTCAAGGCTGTGATTTAGTTCTTACACAGGAGTCACATCAGGCAAGATATGTAGTTTTGGAACCGTGAATGTCAGGCTGTAATGTTTGGAGTTTTTCAGGTGCAGAGAGCAACCATTTAGGGCTACCATTGCACTCAGGAGCTCCACTTTGACGCTTTCATCTTTCTCAGACTATCTGTTCCATTTTCACTACTGTGGGGATCGCAAAGTGCTGGTATAGAAAGGCAGAGCTTTGTTAAGGATGTTTCCTGAATTGTTGGCAGGCAGACAGTACTGGGTCCTAAGTGGCTATGACCTTCAGCAAGGTTACCCGAAGGATATATCCAACTTTGGATTCCCAAGCAGTGTCCAAGCTATTGATGCAGCTGTTTCCTATGGAGGGAAGACATATTTCTTCATAAACAAGGAGTGCTGGAGGTAAGGTGAATGAGTCTTTCCATTAAAGTTAAAAGCTGTGTTTCTCTGCCCTGTGTGCAAACCGTTAGCACGGACATCTGAAGACTTTTAAATCTATATGGTCTTTGACAGCCTAATGAGGTCATAGTCTTTATCACAGGATGATGTTGCTACGTGTCTTTAATCTTTCACTTTTATCACAGAAGATACCTATACAAACATATGGAGTATTCTGTATCATGAGATGTTTCACATCCTCATAAAGCTCTAGGGTAGCATACAGGGAAAGAAGAGAGTCAGTTCTTTTCCTATGAGTTGAGTTCTGATATTCTCAAATGAATGTTTCCCACATATTTGCAGATTTTGGTACACAAGAGAAAGTTATTAAAGCATGAAAGCCAAAGACAGGTTGTCTGTAGGGAGGAAGAGGACAGATGGATGGGGCTAGAAGGAAGGCCAATGGAGACTTGACCAGGAATAAACAACGATATATGTGTAAACATGTCATAATGAAGCTCACTATTTTACATGCTAATAAAATACTAATAAAACAATGCATTCATTTATATTATATACACATGTACACACATACATATAATTATGCTTAATTTACCAACTAAATAAAATGCTTCAAAAATAAAGGCTCTGCTTTTGGGAAATAACTGCTAATCACCAATCAGCATGCTGATTTAAAATCAATGGCACCTCTGTGTTTTAAAACAAAATAACCTTAGGTAGAGAAGTTAAGCATTCCTAATCTTAACCAATGGGACACAGATTTAGTGTAAATATGTCTAAGAGAGTACTTTGTAACATACACAAATAAAAAGCAGGATGTCATAATGTATACTGTTTTTTAAATCATGTGATACTTTGTTCTCATTAGATATGACAATCAAAGAGGATCCATGGACCCAGGTTATCCCAAAAGCATAGGAAGCACTTTCCCAGGAATAAACTGTAGAGTTGATGCAGTTTTCCTACAGGACTGTAAGTAGAAAAAAAGGTTAACAAAAAAAAATTTACCTTGTTATTTTTTATTTGTTATTGATTTATTATTTATTACAATTTATTTACTTTGTATCCTGACTGTAGCCCCTCCCTCATCTCCTCCCAGTCCCACCTTTCCTCCCTCTTCTCCCCCTCTACCCCTCCCCTGGTCCACTGATAGGGGAGGTCCTCCTCCCCTACTATCTGACCCTGGCCTATCAGATCTCATCAGGACTGGCTGAATCCTCTTCCTCTGTGGCCTGGCACAGCTGTTTCCTGGGAGTAGATTATCAAAGAGTCAGTCACTGAGTCCATGTCAGAGACAACCTTTGCTCCCCTTTACTAGGGAACCCACATAGAGAATGAGCTTCCTATAAGATACATCTGAGCAAGGGGTCATGGTCCTTGGTTGGAGTATTGGTCTCTGCATGTCCCCCTGGGTCCAAATATTTTGGCTCTGTTGGACACCTGGTGGAGCTCCTGTCCCATCCAGGTCTTTCTATCTCCCCATAATTCCATAAATTTCCTGCATTCTGCTCAAAGTTTGGCTATGAGTCCCCAGTATCTCCTTCCATACCTTGCGGGGTAGATTCTTTCAGAAGCCCTCTGTGGTAGGTTCTTGTCCTGTTCCCTGTCTTCTCCCACTTCTGATGTCTTTATGTTTGCCCTTCTAAATGAGGATCTTCCCTAGGGTCCGCCGTGTTGTTTAGGACTATATATGTTAGTGTATTTATTCTATATTTTATGTCTAATATCCACTTATAAGTGAGTGTATACCATGTGTGTCTTTCTGCTTCTGGGATACCTCACCCAGGATGATCTTTTCTAGATCCCACCATTTGCCTGCAAATTTCATTATTTCCTTGTTTTTAATTGTTGACTAGTATTCCATTGTGTAAATGTACCACAATTTCTGCATCCATGTCCTCAGTTGAGGGACATCTAGGTTGTTTTCAGTTTCTGGCTATTATGAATAAAGCTGCTATGAATATAGTTGAGCAAATGTCCTTGTTGTATGGTTCAACATCTTTCAGATATATGCCCAACACTGGTATAGCTGGATCTTGAGGGAACACTATTCTTAGTTTTCTGAGAAAGCACCAGATTGATTTCCAAAGCGGTTGTACAAGTTTGCACTCCCACCAGCAACGGGGTTCTCCTTTCTCCACATCCTCTCCAGCATGTGTTGTCACTTAAGTTTTTTATTTTAGCCATTCTGATGGGTGTAAGGTAAAAATCTCAGAGTCCTTTTGATTTGCAATTTCGTGATGACTAAGGACATTGAGCATTTATTTAAGTGCTTCTCTGCCATTCAATATTTCTCTGTTGATAATTCTCTGTTTAGCTCTGTAGCCCATTTTTAAATTGGATTACTTGGTTTGTCAGTGTTTAACTTCTTTAGTTCTTCATATATTTTGGATATTAGCCCTCTGTCAGGCATGGAGTTGATGAAGATCTTTTCCCAATCTCTAGGCTGTTGTTTTGTTCTGACAGTGTCCTTTGCTTTACAGAAGCTTTTCAGTTTCACAAGGTCCCATCTACTGATTGATGATCTTAGAGCCTGAGCTGTTGGTGTTCTGTTCAGAAAGTTTTATTCTGTGCCAATGAGTTCAAGGCTCTTCCACACTTTTTCTTCTAACAGATTTGGTGTATTTGGTCTTACTTTGAGGTCTTTGATCCACTTGGACTTTAGTTTAGTGCAGGGTGGTAAATATGGCTCTATTTGCATTTATTTATCTATTTACATGTAGACATCTGGTTAGACCAGCCACCATTTGTTGAAGATGCTATCTTTTTTCCACTGTGTAGTTTTGGCTTCTTTGTCAAAAATCAACTAAGTGTTTGGGTGTATTTCTGAGTCTTTGATTCAATCCCATTGATGCACTAGTCTGTTTCTATGCCAATGCCACACAGTTTTTATTACTGTTGCTCCATAGTACAGCTTGAGATCAGGGACAGAGATAACTCCAGTAGATCTTTTATTGTGCAGGGTTGTTTTAGAAATTTTTTTCCATATGAAATTGAGGATTGTGCTTTCAAGGTCTGTAAAGAATTGTGTTGGTAATTTGATAATAATTGCATTGAATCTGTAGATTGCTTTTGGTAGGATGGCCATTTTCACTGTGTTAATCCTACTGATCCATGAGCACGGGAGATCTTTCCATCTTCTGATATCTTCTTCAATTTCTTTCTTCAGAGACTTGAAGTTTTTTCATTCACTTGCTTAGTTAGAGTCACACCAATGTACTTTATGTTATTTGTGGCTATTGTCAAGGGCGTTGTTTCCTTAATTTCTTTCTCAGCCCATTTGTCTTTGGTATACAGGAGGACTTCTGGCTTGTTTGTTTTTTGTTTTGTTTTGTTTTGGTTTTTTAGTTAATTTTGTATCTGGCCACTTTGATGAATGTGTTTATCAGCTGTAGGAGTTCTCTGGTAGAATTTTGGGGGTCATCTGCAAATAGTGATACTTTGACTTCTTCCTTTCCAATTTGTATCCCCTTGATCTTTAGTTGTCTTATTGCTCTAGCTAGGGCTTCAAGTACTATGTTGAAGAAATACGGAGAGAGTGGGCAGCCTTGCCTTGTCTGTGATTTCAGTGGAATTGATTTAAGTTTCTCTCTGTTTAGTTTGATGTTGGCTATAGGTTTTGCTGTATATTGCCTTTACTGTGTTTAGGTATATGCCTTGTATCCCTGATCACTCTAAGACTTTAAACATGAATGGGTGTTAGATTTTTTCAAATCATTTTTTGGCAGCTAAGGAAATGATTATGTGATTTTTTTTTTTCCTTCAGTTTGTTTATGTTGTAGATTTCTTTGATGGATTTCTATATATTGAACCACCCCTGCATGCCTGGGATGAAGCCTACTTGGTCATGGTGAATGATTTTTTTTCTTTTTTTTCTGATTTTTTTATTTTAATTTTTATTAATTATACTTTATTCACTTTGTATCCCCCCATAAACCCCTCCCTCCTCCCCTCCTAATCCCACCTTCTTTCCGCCTTCTCCATGCATGCCCCTCCCCAAGTCTACTAATAGGGGAGGTCTTCCTCTCCTTCCTTCTGATCCTAGTATTTTTAATGTTTTCTTGGATTTGGTTTGTGAGCATTTTATTGAGTATTTTTGTGTCAATGTTCATAAGAGAGATGTGTCTGAAGTTCTCATTCTTTGTTGGGTCTTGGTGTGGTTTAGGTATTAAGGTGACTGTGGCTTCATAGAATGAATTTAGTAATGTTATTTCTGTTTCTATTTTGTGGAATAGTTTGAAGAGTATTGGAGTTAGCCCTTCTTTGAAGGACTGATAGAATTCTGCACTGAAACCATCTGGCCTTGGGCTTTTTTTGGAAGGGAGACTTTTCATGATTGCTTCTATTTTCTTAGGGGATATAGGACTGTTTAATTTATTTACCTGATCTTGATTCAATATTGGTAAGTGGAATCCATCAAGAAAATATTCCATTTCAATTATATTTTCTCAAAGAACCAGCTCTTGGTTTTGTTGATTCTTTGAACTGTTTTCTTTGTTTCTTTGATTTCAACCCTGAGTTTGATTATTTCCAGCTGTCTATTTCTCTTGGGTGTGTCTGCTTCTTTTTTTTTTTTCCTAGAGCTTGTTTACCTTTTTAAAACAGCACAGTTACATTTTGTATATTCTGTTTGGTGTATTTGTGGGAACTCACTCAGATGTCTGAGATCTACAAGCTAACCTGGATACTTGTCTCTTTCTTACAGCCTTCCTCCTCTTCTTCAGTGGACCACAATATTTTGCATTTAATCTTAACAGTCACAGAGTCACGAGAGTGGCAAGAAGCAATTTGTGGCTTAACTGCGCATAGAGTTGAGCAAAGTCTATGTCTTTGCATCCCCTCTATGAATTCAAAAGGGAAGCACAATCGTGTGTTCATCCCATGTGTCCTGCCCAAACTTTCCTCAGTCGTAACTAACGCCACAGCCATCCTCAAAGAACAGGTGTTTACAATCTTCCATTCTTGGGATCGGATGATTCTTTCTGCACCTTCCAACACATCAGAACAAACACATCATGAAGAGAAAGCAAGCCCGTTCATCCCCTTGACCTTCGCCAGCCCATTGTCTGTTCTTCTGCCTTCTAAACCTCATGTTTTATTACCAGCTGATCTGACTTCAAATCCTTCTAAATCTTTTCAAATATGTAATCTAGCACTGGAATTTCATTACACATAAGGATTATAAACACAGAGAGCTGACTCCCTGTCTTTACAGAATAAATGCTGTTATTTCATCCCTTCAAAATAAATATGGAAAATATATATTGTGGGTTGAATCCTGTCCTTCTTCATGCCAGAAAAAAAAATAGATTGAAGTTGTAACCCCATATGTTTTTCTAGAACCGGAGTCTTTGTGGATCTAATTAATTATGTGTAAGTGACAAATGGCTCTCGACAGGGTTAGGGTGAGCCCTAAGCCTATATATGTGTTCTTAGAGAAAGGGGAGAGGGATGGGACATGACTCAGAAATAAAACATTTGCCTGACATGTTTGATTCGGAGGCAGTTAAGGGAGAGTCAGCAGAGGCATAGCTCATGGAGAGAGTGATGCAGCTATTTGCCAATAATTCCCCAGGCACTGGCAGATAGAAAGGCGCCAAGAAGGTTCCATTCCTTTCAGCAAGCAGATTCCAGAACTGAGACACTTGCTGATGTTGTTTTCTGGCTTTTGTGGAAATAAATAAATAAATAAATTTGTTTTTTTTGTGCTCTACAGAATATGTGCTTTTTGTTAGAAAAGTACAAGAAAGCCAACACAGTGAGTCAGCCCTTATGACTACTGGGGAGTGTTGCTGCCTGGGCAGGATTTTAAAAAAACAAAACAAAACACAACAATAACAAAAAGAAATGCCACCATCAAGTTCAGGGTGCACTGACACCCACTCTAAAGAAAAGAAGGCAACACAGTCAAGTCAGCCGCCTGCCTGCGGGAGATCCCGAGGCATCTTCCCTTGCAGCAGCAGGAGAGGCCACTCCTTGCTCTCTCTCTACTGTGAGAGGCGAGCCAGTAAGAGCAGAGCCCATTACCCACCTATCCCACTGTCAAACACAGCCGATTTCAGATGCCCTATTTCTAAAACACCCTGGTGTGGCAGTTTTTAAAGCTATAAAAGCAGGGGGTTCCTTTGTGCATGATATCTGCTATTTCTGTGAGCTGCTCATGATAAACTGTTGACCCTAACACCATCTTTACATTGTAAGATGAGAACTAAGTTCCTGCCATTTTGTTTGCCACATTTCAGAATCACAGGCATTTTCCAGCTGTCACATTTATGTGAGCACAAGAGATGCAAAAAAAACTAAGCTTAGGTACAGTTATTTTGGGAGAGCGGCATGATTCCAGTAATAAAAGGGGGCAGCCTGCGCAATGACATGGAAAAGGAGGAAAAATTGATTCAGTACAGTATGTGTCATAAAGGCTTCTGCCACGGGGATTGGTCTTTGTTGCCACCAGGACCTACTGAGAATCCCACAGAATACTATATACCAGAAGTAGGAAAATTCCTCACCATTTCTCAAGCCTTATAGGGAGAGGATTATTTTTAGGGTGTTGAGTTCCTATACTTCCGAGATATATTTCAAACTAATCTGGCAACTCTGTGTCTTCTCAAGGGCAGAAAGACTCATAGTTTCTCACGAGAAGGAGAATGGCACAAACCAGCGTTGTGCTGAAGGAGTGATGCTGGGCATCAAAGATGTCTTCCACAGATCTGCGTCTGTGCTGAAGGAGTGACGCTGGGCATCAAAGATGTCTTCCACAGATCTGCATCTGGGAAATGGCGATATGGGAACCTGGGGAAACACAGCAGTCTGGGAAAGTAGATCTACAGATGCTGGCCCTGGGGGCCTCAGTGTGGCTACCCTGGCATTCTCCACTCCTTTTGCAACCCAGTTTCAGGTTATCATTGCACACAGGCAAGACTTCACAGCCTTCCCTACAGACGGGGGTGGCATATCCCTAATTCCTACCCCAAATGTGTAAGCCAACTATTTTGTGGAATTTCCCAAAGGATATTAAGAATTGCCATTTTCTAACTGGTTGGTGGTGGCTTGTGACTTTAATCCCAGCACTCGGGAGGTAGATGCAGGCAGATCTCTGAGTATGAAGCCAGCCTAGTCTACAGAGGGAGTTCCAGAACAGCTACGGCTACAAAGAGAAACCCTGCTTCAACCTCCCCTACACAAAAACTAAACGTTGCCTTTTCCTCCTTCCTCCTTTTTTGCTGCCTGCAATGCAGGTGCAATGGCTATATCTTGAGAAACCACACAGCTCCTGACAACATAAAGTGAGTCATCCTAAAAGCCACAGACTACCAAACCAAGGCTGCTGTTTCATGAGGGAAACATAAACGTTAGTTTTATTAACCATCTGCTATTGTTCGTTTTTCTGTTGTGTTCATCCAAATATCATCCCAGCCGGTGGAGGCCTGAGACCCACCCTGCCTCCTACCAGGGAGGTCTCCAGCTCCCCAGACCCATCCTTGCATAGATAAAATTCCAGGTTCCTTTGTTTCTCCAAAGATCCAAGAAGATGGCACAACACAGAATCTCCAAGCATTCGGAAGTTTGCAATGTGAAAAATGGAGACCAAACAAAAAGTTTGAGAAACCAGAGGCAATCCTGGTTAAAAAAAAAAAAAAAAAAAATCAAAATAAGTATGTTTCACATATTGGGCAAAAAGAAGTAGGGAGAAGAGACTGGGAGAGTGGAAGGGAAACTGAGGTCAGAATGTAAAAAATAATTTAAAAAAAGAATGTTTAACATCATCGACACAAAGAAGACATATTACATAAACACTAAAATATAAAACTACAATATATGATAACAAATAAACAATTGCTCCAGATCTAACTAGACAGCACTCCTCACAACTAAAGATACAGAGGCAGGGAGATGGCTCGGTGGTAGAGCAGTTGCTGTGCCAGTGTGGGACCTGAGTTAGGTCCCCCAGAACTCATGGAAGCCAGTCACTGTAGCACACAATGCAGTATTTAACTCAACTGGTTCCTGACTCAACCATTTTTTCACATCACACTACCAAGATACGCTAGTGTTTACTACCAGAGAAAATTATTTCAAAATCCGTTACAACTTATATGTTGAAAACTATCAATCTTGAGAAGAGCAAGCTTACTTGGGAGCCTTGCTATGTGATACATTCAGTTTCAAACGTGAGCAGCATGCTGAATAAACAATTACAGACTCTGGTTGCATAATTCAGGCTTATCTAAGGGGGGAAATGTCATGAGACACTTCATGGCAAGTGTCCTTCACTGTTATTAATTAAATGAATACTCATGCCACGTCTCACTGTGGACTTTCTAAATGCCAAGCTAACAGGAACAAGCTTTAACGAAAGAGACAGGAATGAAGCAACTTCTGCCTCTGGTGTTTAATTTTATAGCACTTTCCTCTGCCTTTCCTCCCAACCTAAAGGACAAAAATGAGGAAGACAACCAGCTGGCCCAGGTAGGAACTCAGTGCATGCGAATAGCAACTAGCAATAAAATGTTCCTTTCGTAGCTTCTCTAGGGACCTTGCAAGACAGCAAATTCCTGCAGAGTCCCAGAGCTTCTCAGAAGAATAAGATCCTTTCTATGTGTCCGGCTCTAAGGACATGAACTGGGTATGAGGAGCAGTGTAGAGGAGAGTGAATTTACTGCACTTTTAAACAGTGGTCAGGAAGAGACCAGTGTGAGAGAAGAAAGAAACAGTTTACATGCGTGAAAATCTCTATAAATACATTTTTCAAGACAGCAGACCACAGTAATCTATCATTTGGATCTCTTTAGGCACATATATGTGTTTGTTTGTGTGTGTGTATGCATACAGAGAGAGATACACAAATGTACATCTGCATATACATACATACATACATACATACATACATACATACATACATACACACATACGTGTGTGTGTGTGTGTGTGTGCGTGTGTGAAAAAGCATGTGGCTTTAGCAATTCCTTCTGAAAGTCCAGTTAGCCTGTCATATATTGGTTAAATCACATAAGTTTGCAAAGGAGATAATCACCTCTGCTGCCTTCTAAAATTTCAAGATGAAAGGAACAGTAAATCATGTAGCAGAGTCTGCACCTGGCAGTTGCTGCGCCCTCAGCGCAGATGGGTGTTGTGTGGACCATGGTTTGGCTGACTCTAGTCACTCATAAATCAACAGACTCCTGGCACTGAAAGAGTAGACAGTGGCTCCTTTCTTCCCCCTCTGCAGCTTGCCTTTCCCATCCCCTTGTTATTTATTTCTTTATCCCCCCTGCTGCCAAAGGAGACTTGAGGCCACTTTGTTCACTTGAGGAGAATGCTTGCTCTCCTGTAGCCTGTGTCATTTTTGTCTTTCTTTGCCAGGCGTATCTCAACCAGTTCTACTCTCTTGAAATAGAAGGAGGCCATCTTGTCCAAGACAAGAACAGGAGCCTCTTAGATGGCAAAATTCGGGAAATGCAGGCATTTTTTGGGTTGACAGTGACCGGAAAACTGGACTCAGCCACTCTTGAGATCATGAAGGTGCCGAGGTGTGGTGTGCCCGACGTGGGGCAGTACGGTTACACACTCCCCGGGTGGAGGAAGCACAGTCTTACCTACAGGTAATGTTTCTACCAACCTCATGAACTAGCCCCTCGAAGAAGCAGCCAGAATAATGGCTCATGTAACCGACACCTCCCAAGTGCACGCTATTCCAGCCCCACGTTGGAGCTCTGCCGTGGGCAGTACTGCTACCCCCACCTTAACCACAGAGAGACGGAATCGAAAGGCGATGGCCTGCAGCCGGTGTTGCAAAGGTTCCAGTCTCTGGGCTTTCTTCCCCAGAGTGGGCTCAGGACAGGAAGCACTACCGAGGGCGGCAGTGCTCTGGCTGCGCCATGAGGTGTGCAGTAAGAGGGGAAGACTGTGAGTGGGCGGGGGTGGATGGGGGGGTTGGGGTGGATGGCATTTGTGCTTGTGTATGGCTGTCGGTGTACGGTGGATTTGGGATAGTTTGGGTGTGATTGTGTGTGTGGTGGTAGTTGGTGTGTGTGTGTGTGTGTGTGTGTGTGTGTGTGTGTGTGTGTGTGTGTTAGAGTTATCAGCTCTCAAATCCTGAACAGGTCCCAGTATAAAGAGGCATTTGTCCTCGGCTATTTAAGAATAAAATAATACAAGAGATTTAATGAAAAAAGAAAAGAAAAGAAAGCTA